GGGCGGGGGGTGGCTTAGGGAGGGCAGGGGGGCTGGGCGGGCCCCTGGGCCCCAAGCGCTCCCAGTGACAAAAACCCCCACTGTTCTCCCAGCAGTGGGTGGGGGGCAGGTAGTTATTCATCCACCCATTCATGTGACAAACCAGCACTGGGGAGCAAATAACCCCTGGACCATGTTCAGTCCTGCCTGATAGGACTCAGAGTCTAAGGCACAAGTGGCCTGAGGCGAGGCAAGGGGGCCTGAGGGCGTCTCAGTCCCCCTCCCAGCCCGAGTGCCCTGCCAGGCCTAGACCCCTGTGCCCAGGAAGGACGGCCCCAGAGGCAGGAGACCTCAACCCCCACACCTGGCTCGTCTCCCAGGAGAATCCACAGTGTGTTAGTTTATTCATTCCACACATGTTTACTGAACAGCTGCTCTGAGCCTGGCTCTGTGCTGAGTGAGCAAAACGGAGGATGGGCTGAAGCCGAGCTTGTCCCGGTCTCCAAGGGGTGGACAGGCTCAGGGGAGAGGAGCCACCGGGCCCTGGCTGGGAACAGGGGGAGGGGGTGCCTCTGCTCAGGATGGGAGGGTTTGATCTGTCATCTGAAGGGAGAGGGACTCATCGGTGTTGCAGGAGGGAGACACAGCTTGAGCAAAGGCCCTGTAGCAGGTAGAGGAAGGGGTTTGATGAGAAATAGCCAAAAAGCCACTGAGGCTGTTGGGAGGCCAGGCAGAGGGATGGGAAGGCAGAGCCGGGCTGCGGTGAAGGTTGGGTCCTTGGGGTCTCCGGGGGAGCTCAGCCTTGTTCCCAGGTACCTCGGGACACCCGTGAAAGGCTTCGGGTAGAAGCCTCCCCTCGCCCACCCTGTCCGCCGTGAGTGGGTGAGGGCGGGCCTGTTCGGGAAGGCCTACCACTGCGGCGTAGTGGCTCGGTCTCATCCGACTCTCTGTGACCCCGGGGACTGCAGCCCGCCAGGCTCCTCTGTCCATGGGATTCTCCAGGCAAGGATGCGGGAGTGGGTTGCCATTTGTTCCTCTGGGGATCTTACGGACCCAGGGATGGAACCAGTGTTTCCTGCTTTGGCAGACAGGTTCTTACCACTAGTGCCACGTGGGCATGCCTAGATGGCAGGTATCCGGGACTCAGGATGAGAAGTGGGGACTCAGCGGGCTGCGGGTGGGGAGTTAGCTGTGAGGGAAGGGTGGTGGGCTCACTCCCTGAAGAGAACACCTTCCGGGGCCGGGGCCGGGGCCGGGGCAGTTCAGGAGGCTGTGATTCTGGACTTGAATCCTCGCTGAGTTTGGGGTCCTGGGGACATGGTGGGGCCAGGCCCCGTAGCCTGTGGCCGGTGGGTCCAGAGAAGCGCTGGTTATGGAAGCCGGCTGCGGCCGCGAGCTGCCTGGGGAGACGAAGGAGGCCCGGGAGGGCGTCCTGGAAGCCGGGAGAAGCTGGAGCGGGGGGCAGGGCGCGCGATCCCCTTCGGGAGCCTGGCTCCGTCCTGTGTCCGGCGGAGGCTGTACGCCGGTCTCACCGCGTTGACAGCGGGCCAGGCGGGATGGGGACAGGACGGGGGCGCTTCCTGCGCGGTGCGAACTTCCGAGAGGACGCGAGGCCGACCCCGTGCCCCCGGCCCGCCGGGGCACGGCGGACCGGCGGCGCTCGCGTTAGGACCCAGCGGATCCGGGCGGGAGGTAGAGAGCGCCGGGAAGCCTGGGTCCTCGGGAGGGGCGGCTTTTGTCTCCCCGGAGGAGAGGGGTGGCGGCCGGCGGGGGTGTCCGCGGGGCGGTGGGGACGGAGACAAAGGGCAGGGCAGGCCGGGCCCCCGGGGTGTGTCCCCGGCCCGCTGGGCCTCCCCCGGCCCCGCAGGTTCGGCCCCCCTCCCCGCCCGATCTCCCGCCGTCTGGACGCGCTTGCAGACGCGTCTCCTGGAGGGGCCCCTTCCTCCGCGCGGACTCCTCCAGACGGCCTGGCCCGGGGCCCCTTCCCCCAGCGAGCCTGGGCGCCCCGTGCGGGGGGCTTCGAGGCTTAGGAGGGGCTCTGGGAACAGACAGAGCCCCAACCCACCCCACCAACCACCTCCCAAGAGGGGCCTTCGAGTGGTGACAGCGCCAACCAGCCTGGGAGCCAGGTGGGGGACAGGAAGGACTTGGGGGAGCTCCAGGCCTGGGTTCCCGGCGCGGAGGAGGCCGAGGGTTTTCAGAGTGAACACCCAGCCTGCGGGGCAGCTGGGTCAAAGGCCTCACCTTCCCCACCCCGTCCCCTCCCCTTCCCTCCTCAGTAAGGCTGGAGAGGGGAGTGAGATGAGGAACGTGTGCGGTGACGGGGTCACAGGAGAGGTGCCCGGTGGTGGAGGGGTGGGGGGGCTTTCAAAAGGAGAGGTCCCATGTCTCTGCCCCCGTCCCCCCCTCTCCTTTGAGTCCCCGCGGCCTGGAGGGGGCCGGGGCAGACAGGCAGGTTTCCAGTGAACCGTCTGGAAGTACTTCTTGTGTTGTGGGAGGGCGGGCCCCCCGTGGGTGAGCCCAGGACTCTCTCCCAGCCCCCCCCCACCCCGCCGCCCGAAGGCGGACAGTCTGGAGGCTGTCCCCCACTGAGCTGGGGCTGGCCGTGAGGACCTGCCGACTCTGCCAAGTCTGCCGTGGGGCCAGACCGGAGACGGGGCTCACCCAGGGCTTCTCCAGCTTCAAGAGCCTGCCCCCTCCCCCCATAACTACGCTAGCAGCTCTCGGCATACCGTTCATGCGGTCCAGAGCCCCTGGGACCGCAGTCCCTTGAGTGCTGCCCTGCAGGCTCGGGAGAGACGCTTTCCAGACCCCGCCCTGAGTGCTTCCTGCCCAGCAGACAAATAGCCCTCAGTCCCGTGAGCGTGTGATGGAGTCAGCCGGGTCCTGGGAGGCCTGGCGGGAGAGGCGTCTTCGGGGCGGGAGCCCGGCCCAGCCTGGCCTGGCCGTCCCGCAGGCCTGGGGTCATGTGGTTTCCTGCTGAGCAGGAGGCCTGGGCCCCGGGCTAATTGGGAGCAGGTGCGGGTCTGGCCTGGCTGACTGCTGAGTCTGGGCTGTGATGTTGGTTGGGCAGGACTGGGGTCTCAAGGATGGGCCTGGGGTCGTGGTCTGGGCACTAGATTCCTGGAGAAGTGCTGAGCAGAGGGTGGGCATCTGTGTGGCAGGGAGCGCAGGGCCAGGGATTAGAAATGCCCGTGGAGCGTGGGCGGGCAGTGTAGGGTCTGCTGTCAGGATCAGCTCTGGAGCTCTGGAGCCCCTCCGGTGCCGAACGCCCAGTGGGCTCTCAGGGACAGGTCACCGCCCCCGAGGCCCACTCTCCGTGACCCTCCGTCTGCCTGGCCTCTGTTCCGGGCCCCCCTTGTCCAGGCTGAATTCCAGGAGCAGAAGTGGCCCTGCGGCCCTGGGGTGTTGGCCTGGGGAGCAGCTCGCCCCTCCTCTTTCTCCAGCTGTCCCCGGACACCGGCGCGGCCCGCTCACTGAGAGCCATGAGAGCTGCCTCCCTCTTCCTGCTCATCCTGCCTGGTAAGCCGCACCTGGGCTATTGGGGCTCCCGCGTGGGTGCAGACAGGGAGCTGGCCTCCAGCTCTTGTCCTGCAGCCGGAACTCAGTTTCCCGAATCCCAGGGCCTCCTACCTCTTGGACCACAGGCTGGACTGGCCAACACCTCCCCCTCCCACAAAGTCTGGAGGCATCTCTGGGCGCCTCCCAACCCTCTGCAGCAGCAGGCTAGGCCCAGGCACCAGGGTCCACGCTTCTCCACTTACTGACTGGTCCTCCCGGGAGCCGCTGTGCAGGAATGGAGGCCCCTGAAAGGGGGCCGAAGGCCTGGGATTCGCACTCCTTTGGGGCCAACTCAGCTACAGTCCTGACCTGGGAGAGGTCCCTGGTCGTCACATGAAAGAGTTGTCAGTGGGGACCCCAAAGGGCCTGCCAGGTCTGACATTCGTTCATTTAACAGATATCTGTGGAGCCCCCCCGTGCCAGGCACTGGGATAGGCCCTGGCGACGCAGTGATCCAGCGGGCAAATGCCTGCCTCGCGTGGTGTTGCCCTGCCGGTCTAGAGAAGGGCGAGGTGATAAACACCAAGTTGTGTTGAGTGCTGTGATGGAAATAAACAGGAAGATGCGATGGTGTGGGTGGGTAGGCCAGCGAAGGCTTCTCTCGTTTTTCAATATTAATTTCTTTGGCTGTGCCGCGTCTTACAGCACGTGGGAACCTCAGGCTTCGTTGTGGCCCATGGGATCTTTTGCAGTGGCCTTAGTTGAGGCATGTGGGCTCCTGTTCCCTGACCAGGGATTGAACTCGGGCCCCATGCCGGGAGCACAGAATCTCAGCCGCTGTACCGCCAGGGCAATCCCCTGTCCCTGTCACTGTCCTGTCCCGCTCCTGGTGACCCCATGGACTATAGCCCACCAGTTTCCTCTGTCTGTGGGATTTTCCAGTGCAGAACACTGGCGTGGGTGTTGTTCGTTTCCATCTCCAGGGGATCTTCCCGACCCAGGTATCGAACCCCAGTCCCCGGCATTGGCAGGTGGATTCTTTGCCACTGGGCCACCTGGGAAGCCCCCGAGCAGAGCAGAAGCTTCAGTAGAGACTCGCAGGAGGAGAAGCTAACCAGGCTGTCAGGCCCAGGGAGAGTCAAGTGCAAAGGCCCTGGGGCAGGCAGGAGCGACCAAGAGCCACCCCGGGGAGCGGGTCGGGGGGGCGACCGAGGGCTGGGGTGTGCAAGGGCCTTTGTGGGCAAGGAAGCGTTTGCATCCTGTGAGTCTGAGTCTGCTGGGGGTCTCGCAGGCCTACCTGAGGGGCTTCTGCCTTCCTCAGGGGCCTTCCGGGCCCCTGCTGCCTCTCCCTGCCCGACACCCACTTAGCTCTCTCTCCCCATAGCAGGCCTGCTGGCTCAGGGCCAGTATGATCTGGACCCACTGCCTCCGTACCCAGACCACGTGCAGTACACCCACTACAGCGACCAGATCGGTAAGCCTGCCGCCCGCCCCCAGACCCCCCCAGCCCACTCCTTAGATTGGCGTGGCTCGGTTGGGGGTCAGGTGGGGCGGTGGGAGACAGACTTTCAGGGCTGTGGGCCCTGGCTGCCCTGTGCCTGGGGGCTAGGCTGACCCCCACCAATTCCACATCTTTATTTCCAGACAATCCGGACTACTATGATTATCCAGGTAAAGGGCTGAGGGTAGGATGGCGTGGACAGGCAGTGGGGTGGGGTGTCCGAGGAGGCCTGCTGGGGCTGGGGGAGGGAGCAGACTCCTTACCGCCTCCCCTGGCAGAGATGACACCTCGGCCACCCGAGGAGCAGTTCCAGTTCCAGTCCCAGCAGCAAGTCCAGCAGGAAGTCATCCCAGCCCCCACCTTAGGTAGGCCACCAGCTCCAGCCAACCCTGGGGGTGGGGAGGGCTGCCTAGGGCTGGAGAGGTGACCCCAGCCTGCCCGGGACCATCTGTCCCAATGGTCGCTGCCTGCCTCTCCCCCAACTCCAGAACTGGGGACCGTGGAGACGGAGCCCACGGAGCCAGGGCCTCTAGGTAAGAGAGACTGGGCAGGGTCTGGGAGTTAGGGGGCCCCGGGAGTTAGGGGTGGAGGAGGGTCCGGGAGGTCGGAGACAGGGGGCGGCCCTGGGAGTTAGGGGGTGGAGGGCCCGGGAGGTCGGAGACGGGGGTGCCCCGGAAGTTAGAGGGGCCCTGGGAGTTAGGGGGTGGAGGAGGGCCCGGGAGGTCGGAGACGGGGGGCCCTGGGAGTTAGGGGGTGGAGGGCCCGGGAGGTCAGAGACAGAAGGGGCCCTGGGAGTTAGGGGGTGGTCCGGGAGGTCAGAGACAGAGGGGGCCCTGGGAGTGAGAGGGGCCCCGGGAGTTAGGGGGTGGAGGGCCCGGGAGGTCAGAGACAGAGGGGGCCCTGGGAGTTAGGGGGGCCCCGGGAGTTAGGGGGTGGGGGGCCCGGGAGGTCGGACACAGCCAGGCCTCTCGCTCTTGCTGGGGTAGGTGGTGGGCTGGGGGCCTTGCAGAGGTGCCCCTGCTTGAGGTCAGCAGGGCCCCCGGCAGCTCCAGGAGACCCCTCTGCCCTGTGCTGGGCAGGGGGCTGGACTGGCTGTGGCCTCGGGAGGAGCCTCTAGACACAGGGAGGGGAGCGGCTGGCAGGAAGTCCCCCCGGCGAGTGGTGCTGGGAGGCAGGAAGCCCAGCTCTTTGGGGCCGCCCCCGCCAAGAGCCCGCTGGCCTGTGTGGGGGACCCGTCCCGTGTGACGGCCCTCCTGTGAGGCTGCTGTGCGTCTCCGGGCCTGTGTGTGGCTGTAGGTTTGTTTGAACTTCAGTCTGTTTGGATAGAGGCCTCTTGGTGCAGTTGTGAGTTTACATGTGTATAAAAGTGTTGGACAAAACTGGGCAGCCTGGAAGGTCCGGCAGTGCTGTGTGTGTGCATTGGCATGTGTGTCTTTGTAAGTGTGTGTGTTCGTGTGTCTAGGCTGGGCCTGAGGGTGCAGGGGTTCCTGGCCCCGAGAGCCAGGCCCCTGGGGTGCGGTTGGGGGCGGCCCCCAGCTCTGAGCCCCGAACTGCAGCGCGCTGACCCCACGTGTCACCCAGACTGCCGCGAGGAGCAGTACCCGTGTACCCGCCTCTACTCCATACACAAGCCGTGCAAGCAGTGTCTGAATGAGGTCTGCTTCTACAGGTGAGGGGGCGGGGGCTCCAGCCAGCCCCGTGGGGTGGGGACAGGCAGTGATCCTGAAGTGAGCCCCCGGCCGGGGGTGGGCGTGGGGTCCTCTCCCCGGGCTGAGCCCTCCCGGCCCGTCCCCTCAGCCTCCGCCGCGTGTATGTCGTCAACAAGGAGATCTGCGTTCGGACAGTCTGCGCCCACGAGGAGCTCCTGCGGGGTAGGCAGCCCCCACCCCGCCCCTCCCCTGGCCCCAGCCCCCGCCTGACGTTTATCCATCGTGGGTCCGAGCCGGGCTCCCCTCCCGGCCCGTCTCATCCTCAGACAACCCGGTCACCCAGGCTGGGGCGCGTGGCAGTTCCCTCACCTGGCTCTGTGCTCACCCCAGCCCCTTCCCGCCCTCCTGACAGCTGACCTGTGCCGTGACAAGTTCTCCAAGTGCGGCGTGCTGGCCAGCAGCGGCCTGTGCCAGTCTGTGGCGGCCGCCTGTGCCCGGAGCTGCGGGGGCTGCTAGGGGGAGCTGGCCCCCTGCCGACCCGGGGCCCCCAGGCTCTGCCTGACCTGGTGCTTTCCTCCTGTCTGAAGTTCCTCTAGTCCTGTTAGAGGGCTGCGGGCCTGGGGTTTGCCGCGGCGGCTCCCCTTGCCTGGGGCCACCCCCCGGGGCCACAAGGGGGCTCCCGAAGGGCCAGTCTCTGCCCCTGGGTGGGGGACATCCCGGGCGCCCTGTGGGACCTGGGCCCCCGACGTGTGTCCCTCGTCCCCCACCCCAGGACCATCCCTCACCCCCAAGGTAGGAGGTGACCCCCCACCCCAGCTGGTCTGCTTGAATCTCCTACAGCCCCTGGGCATAGACCACCTTTGTTTTATACAAAATTAAAAACAGGTTTTTACGAAAGACGTGGAGTCCCTTTTTTGGTGGGGAGTGCAGAGATGGCCGCGGACCTCCAGCCCTGCGTGTCCTCCCCTAGGCTGCCCAGCCCCCCTGGGGAAGGGCCGTTTCTGGCCGTGGCCTCCGCAGTGCCAGCCCTGCCTCTCAGCTCAGCTCTGCCCAGAAAGGTGGGCCCTGACAACCGCCCTGCCCCCGGGCTCTGTGTGCGCTGCAGGAGGCTGTATCAGAAATGGAAGTTTCAGGAACACAGCCTCCTCACCGTCAGGACTGGGGGGGGTCTGAGGCCCCCGTCACTGGGAAGGGCTCCGGCAGGGTGGAGGCTGCCTGTGTGGGCACCTGAGGGTGCTACAGGGTTGGGTCGTGGGCTCTGGCATCAAGGGCGTTTGCGGGGAGGGAGGCCTGGTGCATTTCAGAGGGCAGAAGCAGTCTGGCCGTTTGAACAGCATCCTCTGAGCACGGGGAGACCAGGCTCCCTCCGTCTGAGGGTCAGCACACAGTCCTCTTTAAGCCTTTAGCCTGTGTGGCGGGCATGGGTAATATCCCATCTTACAGACAGGAAACCAAGCCGAGAGTCAGTCCATAACTCCCCACCCCTCGGGCCCACAGTGGTCAGTGGCAGGGCAGACCCTGATGCCGCTGGGCTCCGGGGGCCGAGGGGCACTTCTTGGAAGCACAGACTGAGCACCTGCTGTGTGTGTTCCCCCGTCGCCGGCCTGGGAGGCAGGTCCCCACCTTCCTGATAGCACACCGAGGCTGACAGCTTAAGCAGCTGTGCCTGGGATCACCCAGCAGGGCCAGGCCAGACACAGGTCCACGCCCAGGCCTGCCCTTCTTGCTGCGCCGCCTGGAAGCCCTGCTGGTGCTTAGGAGGTGCACCCTGTCCTGAGGAGGAGCCAGAGAAAGGGGCAGAAAGCTTCAGCTGGGAAGAGTAGAGCTGGGCCCAGCCCCAAGCCTCAACGGCTCCGTCTGTTGAATGGGTGCATGGCCCAGGACCCTGGCGGCCTCTGCACCCCGCCGCCCTGTGAGGTTCCCTACCTTTCCGCACGGGCCTTTCTAAAGTCTCCCCCACGTCCCTGCGCACCCCTCACTAGGGGACCCCAACCCTCTGGCCACAGGGTCCTCCAGTCTCCCCATCTCCCAGGAGGCATATTAAAGCAAAAGGACACATCTGTACAAATCATTCTTTAAAAAATGGGGTTGTTACAAAGAACACAACAGTTTTGAACAGTTACCATTGTAAAAAGGTATAAAAATACAGCGACTCTGAACTCTGAGGAACTTGCTGACAAACACTGAACTTAGACGGACAGACTTCCGAGTGGCCAGCAGACCTGCCCCAGGCGCGACCCTCACGGCCAGCGCACCTGCGCCCAGGGTCAGCGGGGATGGGTCTCTCCAGCCCGGCCCTCAGGAGGCCCTCCCGGGAACGGGCTGAGGGGGCCCCCAAGGGGTGGCTCTGACAGGCTGGAGCCCCGTCCCGGCCCTGGCACCCCACCCTGCACCCCTGCGAGCTCCGGCCCAGGCCCCCTGAACCCTGCCGAGGGCGCCCCTCCAGCCCGGCCCAGCCGCAGGCCCCGTTGCCAGGACGCCGGCAGAGAGGTGCTCAGTTCTCCAGGGGCCCAGAGGGCGGGGAGGAGGCGGCCGAGTGCCTTCGAAGCTCCTGCTGCAGCTGCCCCCTCAGCATGGACACCTGGAAAAGAACGAGGACGCAGGGCTCACCCAGGCCCAGCCTGGGCTCGGCGCCAGGGACAGGGCTGGGACCCCAGAAGGCCCAGGGCCGCGTTCCGGGAAAAGCCAGGTGTCGTAACAGCCAGGGCATTCCCTCCCCTTCTCATTCCACTCCACAGAGCGGCTGGGGCTCTCCGGACTGCGCGGCCTCTCCTTGGGGGCCCCATCCCCTCCCACCACCAGGACAGGCCTGGCGCTAGCTGGACTCCAGGGCGGACCTGGGCCCCGGCCTGACCCACGGGGCAGGCTTGCTCTGCAGACGTGATGGGGATGGTCACAGGGGGCCTATGAGCTCAGCTTGCCCAGGAGGAGCGCCCTTGGGACTCCGGCTGTTGCTCTCAGGGAAAACAGCCCCTTGAGCCCCCGGGACTGTGAGTCGCTAGGTTATCCTCAGGCCAGCTGTGCCATCTGCAAGACGGCCCGACCAGGCACGGAGCTATGGAGAGGGGACAGAGCTCCAGTGACCTCACTTGAGCCCCCAGGTCCAGCCGTGGCTGACACCAGCCTGGTCCACCCTGACCGTCTCAGTTACGGGGGCACCAGTGAGCACCTACACCCAAAAGGGGCAAGTGGCAGTGAGGCCCGCCCTCTCTCGCCCCTCTCCCTCCCCCCCAGCTCGGGCTCAGCCTCCAGACGCAGAGCCCCCTCGTACCTGCTCCTCCAGCCCCCGCACCCTCTGCTGGTGGGCGCGCTCCCGCGCCTCCAGCGCGCGCTCTGTCCGCACCTGGGCGCCACGTAGGCGCTCCACCTCCTGCTGCAGCTCCGCTGCCTCCAGCCCGGCCGGGCTGTGATTCTGCTCCAGCGCTGCCACCTGGGCCTGCAGGAAGGGCCACCGGTCAGGCCTGGGGCCTTGATGCGCACACACACATGTGCACGAGTGTGAAGGGCCAGGCCCTCTCTGGGTGGGAGCCCGAGGGTCCCTGCAGGCAAAACGAGGCTTGCAGGACCAGAGCCTTGTCTTCCCCCACCCAGCCCTCCTGGCCTGCGAATCCCGAGTCAGGTTGCTGGGTGATCCACTCAGGAGCATGTGCGCGCACGCACGCACACACACACACACACACATTCAAACGCAGAGACAAGCCCGCATACATACAGTCATACAAGCGTGTAACAACCTGTGTTCACATCGATGCACACGTGTCCAAAAGCCCAATACTCCCACCTACGCATGTCCAAGAAGACACCCAGGGCTCCCCCGGGGGCGCAGTGGTGACTGCACCCGCCAGTGCGGGAGCCACAGGCTCGATGCCTGGTCCTGGGGGTCCCACACGCCACAGAGCAGTTGAGCCTCTGCGCCACAGCTGCTGAGCCTGGGCTCCAGAGCCCGTGCCGCGACCAGCGGCCACTGCAGTGAGAGGCCGGGGTCACACTCGAGAGGGGCCTCTGCACCCAGGGGAAGCCCGCAGCAATGAAGGCCCAGCACGGCCACAGGTAAAAGTATTCATCTGTACACAAAGATACACTATACAGATGATACATCCTAGTACCGAGATACGCCACATCCACACACAAGGTCCACGCTACACGCGCAACAGTCCTCTCGCGTACACTCATGGCTCTCTATGGCCACAAGCGTGAACACACCCCCCAAGTGTGAGCACAGCCCCCCAAGCGTGAGCACACACGCATACACGCTGACAGGCCCTCCACTTTGGAGAGGACCCCTCCCTCTGAGGCCTGACTCTGGGACGCCCCCTCAGGACTGTCTGGGCTTGCAGGTTGTAGGGGCAGAGAGCTGGGTCCAGGGCTACAGAGGGGCAGAGGGGCGGGGTGGGCAGTACTGAGACCTCCAGCAGCTGGATCTGCCTCTGGGCCTCAGCCAGCTCCAGCTCTGCCCCCGTGAGCGTGTGGTCCAGGCGGCCCTTCTCCACATTCAGACGCACCGTGTCCTCGTGACTGTGGAGCTTCTCCCTTTCCACCTAGGTGGGGAGGGCAGGGGGCATCAGGGTGCCTGGGGAAGGAGGGAGGTCCCAGGGAGGAGGGCATCAGGGTGCCCGGGAAGGAAGAAAGTCCTGGGGCTAGGGGGCATCAGGGTGTCGGCAAAGGAGGGAGGTCCTGGGGGCATCAGGGTGCCTGGGGAAGGAGGGAGGTCCTGGAGGGGCTCAGGGAGGAGTGCTGAGCTAGAGGGGGCCGGGCCAGCGGGCACACACAAGCAGGGCTTGGACCCGGGGGCAGCCCAGGGAGGGCCCGAGGGGCACAGCCCACCTTGTCCAGTGTGCTCCTAAGGGCTGCCCGCTCCTTCTCCAGCCGCAGGGTTGAGCGTTCCGCGTCCCGCTTCTCAGCCTCCAGCTGGGCCAGGGTGCGCTGCAGGCTCCCCAGGCGCTCCTGCAGCTGCCGCCGCTCGTCCTGCGCCTTCTGGGCCGTGTGCAGGGCCGCAGCCTCAGCCTCCTGCCGCTGCCGCAGTGCCTGCAGCAGAAGCCAGCAAGCCCCTGACCCCCAGGCCACAGGGTGGGCACCGGAGCCCCATCACATTGGGGGTGATGAGGCCAGCTACCCGGCCCACGCGAGAGACATGGCTACTGGGAGGCCCTCAGCAAGGAACAGTCCCGGGGCCTCAGTCCTGCACCTGAGTGATGGGGGCTGGGGAAGGCTGGCAGACCGCTGAGCCCAGTTCTCTGTACCCTGCACCTGAGTGATGGGGGCTGGGGAAGGCTGGCAGACCGCTGAGCCCAGTTCTCTGTACCCTGCACCTGAGTGATGGGGACACGACGAAGGAGCCGCGCTGCCTCCTGGAGGCCGGGTCCGGCCTTGGGAGGAGGTGGAGGCGAGTGGGGTGCCCCTGGCCCTCACCTCCTGCAGCTGCTGCCGCCGCCCCTCAGCCTCTGCCCGCCGCAGCTCCAGATCTGCCAGCTCGCCCCGCAAGGTCTGCAGCTGCTCACCCAGGGAGCTGCTCTGCT